TTCCGGCTGAAATGGGTGTTAAAACTCCTATTCTCTCACAGGGACCAAACTCAGACCCAAACGTAAGGCTTCTATGTGTGAACAGAAATCTAGACTGTGTTTTGCTTATGGCTGTCACAGACAAAGCGTCATCAAAAAGTGGCACTAGCTAGTCTATTCCTGGTGGAGGCAGGATCCAAGAGCTAGGGTTTACTATTCAAACACCTGCCCCCCTCCTCATCTTTATCACAGGCTCTTCTATTGCAGTGAACTGGCCAAATGGGCATGGACACATATTACAGGGCAAAATCCTGGGTTAATTGCTGTTGAGCAAGCAGCTTTATTTCACTAGTGGTAAAGATGGTCAGAGAGCTTTGTTCCTACCAAAGATCTGGACATCTGAACAATTTACTATGGGGATAAAAGGGGGCTTTACTGTGCATCAGCTGCTTCACTGTAATCACCCATGTGCACTTTCATACCCCTAATACATGGAAACTGAACTGCTGTAGCTCTGGCTTTCAACAAGAAAGGGAAATTACCCCTCCTTTAGATTCCACTTATGGCTGGGTCAGAGCGTACACATTGGCAGTTCCTGCAGAGCAGCTTATGTACAGTGAAGTCCCATCTCCTTGTATCTTGAAGTCAGTTGTTCATATGTGCGTATCCTCAGGCACTAGATGTACTGTCTTTGCAAATTAATGTAAACAGGGTCTGGAAATTAGTGGGAACAGAAATAAAACAGTTCTCAATGAATTACATGATTCATTTATAAACGTTTAAAAGCTACGTTGGTACAAGTAGTTAATGTGCAGGTGATGCAATTGCAAGGGGTCAATCACGGAAAGCTTCACGGCAGCACGTGGGTCCTGCTTAGCTAAGGACATGCTAATACTATTGCAATCATGCGATTTATCTTTGAAGTGGTTTAGCATTTGACTTGAGGGTGGGTCCATCCCTCTAGATTCCCAAGAGCCTCTTCTGGTGCACACTATAAGAATTGTTCAACCCCACTTTCTGGTTGTCCCGGAAGGCAGGGTGTCAAACATCTGGCCCACAGGGCTTTTTGCGGGCTGGACTACCCACTTCAGTGGGCCCATGGGGGCTTGTCACCACAGCTGCTGGAGTCCCTGCAGCGGTGGTGTTAATGCCCCAGCTCCTGTTTCAGCCTGGCTCCAGAACCCAGGGAGTTAATGCTGCTCACCTTCCTACCCTTTATTCATTGCTAAAATGGGGGATTTTAATTGCCCTTAGTGACTAAGATTGGCAGCAAGGGAAATGTGGGGCAAGTGGCAGTGGTGTTCATGTCCTAATTCTGGCAGCTGCAGGGATTAATGTCACCACCTCTTGCAGGTGGTCCAGCTCATGGGAAGCTTCACAAACTGGATTGGGCGCATGGAGGCAAACAAGTTTGACTCTCTTGGTTTAAGGTGGTCAGAGCCTCTTGGAAGTGCTGGAAACCCTTAGTCCCACTGCCCTGATTGGGAGCTGAAAATGCTCAGCCACTGGCAGGATCAGGCCATGCGAGATCATCCGGCAGATCCACTGGCAGTTAGTGAATAACTCCCAGAAGGAGCAATTCTGCAGGCAGTGTCAGGAAAACTCTCAGCACATACAGCTCTCTTCACATCTCATGGAAACTGCTGTAATTTGCTGGGCAAGTGCCCCAGCTATATGCACCAGGACCGTTATAGTGTGGGATGCTTTAATAGTGGAAAAACAACCAGGCTGAGTAGAAATTCCTGCTGCAATGACACTAACAGATGGTTCCTGTGCATTGTCTGCTTGCTGTTACCACCCAGTCTGCCATGCTTCCTGGATCTATGTCATGCTCTAGCAAGGATCAGCTTTGCTAGCCTCTAGGCAGACCTTTCCAACTGCAGAGGCTTAGGACCTGATATACGGGGTGTACAGACCACACTGGTAAATAATGCAGCTCCTGTGGGGCATTTCTTAGCTCAATAACTCTGGTTTTGACTGAAATCTGTCTGTATCTGTGCTGTTGGTTTTATCCTTCTGCCCATCACTATAGCACGTGAGAGCTTCCCATGTAAAATTGATGTTAACAGGAAAGTGGCCTGATGATGATGACAGTAAATAACAAAAACCACAGCTACTCGTATTTCCTCACAGAGTCTCTGGTACTCCCCCATTTCTAGGACCAGAACATTAGGGCTACCAACAGCCAGTCATTTTTGTTTCTAGAGTGTTCAAGAAGTCTCTAAAGGAATATTTTTCTGTCAAAATGTTGAATTCATGAAACTGAAACATGTCACAGACATGTTAATTTGGTCAAAATCTAGGGAAAATTATTGAAACATTTTGCTTTGATGCATATACTCTACTGGTTAAAGTGGCAAAGTCAAAGCAGAATGGCTTGGGTGAATGGAGCTGCCCGTCAGGAGCCTCCACTCAAATATCTAATCTCTGGAGACGGGTGACACTTAAAGGCTTGTCTACAGTAGTGGGGGCTAACCTTTTTGGCAGTCATGCCACAAATTAGTCCCACCTCCTCCCTGAGTGCCAACTCTGCTCCCTTTCCCCTGCCTGATCTGCTCCTCTGCTTTCTGCTCCATGCCCTATGCTTCCTGCCTGATCTTCTGCTCCCTGCCCAATCTGCCACTCTGCTTTCCTCCCTTCCTGTTGCTATGCCGCCTTTCCCCCCTGATCTGCCACGTGCCACACACAGAGGTTGTCTGTGCTACTTGTAGGTGCAGGTTGGCCACCCTTGGGGGTGGAAGGGGCTGGCAAAGTCGAGGCTGAGCCCATCCTGTCCACCTGCACCCTTAGGCACACTCCAACCCTGGAAATACATCCATGAAGCTGCTGTGGACTTGTGCCTCTGCACTTGCTCCTGAGCCCTTGGTCTCTGGCAAGCCTGTGAGCAGGGGCTGGGGATGAGCCCCATATGGCTTCACTGCAAACTAGGGTGCAGGGTTCAGATTTAGAGAGTGTCAGTGGGTGTTGGAGGGGTGTGTGGGGGCCCCCTCCTCGCTTCGACCTGATGCTGCTGTGATAGAAACAAGTGAAAAGACACAGCCCTGTGCTTTGCTTTCCCGCTGGCCAGACTTTAGGCAGCTCCCTGCTCAGAGGGCAATTTCTGGATCACCCATCTGATGCAACTCTCTCTCCCCATGTCCTGCACGGGGAACCTGGAGGCCTCGCTCTGGGTTCTGGATTCCAGTCTGGGAAATGCACTGTACTGAATGCACTGGGAAGCAAGGGTAGACAGTGTTCTTTCTACATTGCCAAAAAAATAACAGCCCTGTGGTTCAGCTGTTGGGTGCTGCAACTCTAGCCCAAAGCACTATAAAGCTGGTGTGGTTGGCCTTGGAAGATGATGGCACAGAGTCAGGGCTCTCCTCTGTTACCAATCTGCTAGTGCAGGGGGCATGGCCTGAGCTTCCTTATGTGAGGCTAGTTACCTGATACTGCAGCAGCCCTCTTGGGCTGCTCTAACTTAACAGGTTGGCACCAATTTGCACCAGTGATCCCAGGAGTGGGTAAGTGTGAAGGGGAGCAGTGCCCCCTCTTCTAATGCACAGTGCATGTCTTGGCAATAATGGAGGACTCAGCCGGATGTGCTTCTCCTTTCAAGGCCCGCCAAATCTTTTCCATGTGTGTGGGCTCTCTATTTACACAAACAGATAAACAAACACACAGGCCAAGCTGAGCACTGAAATGTTATTGCTTTGCTCCTCAAATTCATGTATTAGCAGCTAAATGGGAACCAAGAAGTTTCATGTTTTTATTTGTGTTTATCTGAAAATCCTTTTTTCCGGTTAAAAAAAAATATCCAGCTCACACTCTTCTAGCAAGTGGTCAGATTTTGCTTAGGGAGGTTCTTTAGGCAAAACATACCATACAATAACCCTCGATTTCCATCACCAGCATTAGCTGTGGCTCTGCTGCCGGTCAGCAGTTTTCTAGGCAATCAGCCTAAATATACATATTTTGGAGCAGTGGTGCTCAACCTACAGCCTGTGGGCCAGATGTGGCCCATGGAGCTGTGTAATGTGCCCCATGGGGCTTCCAGTGGGTCCAGTAATTTGGCAGAAGGGGAGCGGTGGCAGCAGTAATTGATGCAGGTCTAGGCAATTGTCACCAACATGCTGCCCATGGTACACCCCCCCCCCCAAAAAAAAAAAAAATTTCTGGACCTATGGGGAACCCCTCAGGCTGGACAACATGGCCGTGCATGCTGGGTTGGGCTAGTATATGGGGCTGGTCTGCAGCCAGATCTGGAACACAAGGTCTGGCCAGTGTTCCAGATCTGAGGCCAGATTTGGAGTGTGCAGTCCACCCAGTGGGTGGGGTCAGTCCACAAATGGATGTAGTGTGTGGGGTCAGGATGGTACAAGGGACTGATCCCATGCACCAGATCTGGCCTGCAGATCAAACCTGAACCACTCATTCAGCTCATGGGGCTGGATGGGTTAAGCAGTTTTAGAGCATTTTGCAAAATTAGCTCTTGCACAGAGAACTGTTTAACCTTACATATGGAGTCATCATTGCTCTTTCATAATCTGGCCCCAGCACTTAACTCCTCTGTTTGGATCCAGACATGGTGCAGACCTCTTTGTGGCACCACGCACTGCCTGCCTAGCACATTAAAATGTGCCCTGCACTGCAAATCTGCAGTGTGGGGGCAACATTTGCTATTGGGAAATCCCAGTAGCAAAAAAGAAACATTGAGGGAAAACAGCAGCATGGCAGATGCCCCAGGAGTGTGTGCTGACAGACACCGAGACTTGATCCTCCTGGGAGATGCTCTGGTTGCTGGCCAGAGCATCTCTCCTCCTCTAGTTCTGCCTTGGCTCCTCCAATACGCCGGTCGCCAGGAGGAGTGGGGAAATGGCAGCTTCCCTGAAGTGGGGCATTTTGCCCCACACCAAAGTACACATGAAGGGGTGTGCATAGCGGCACAAATTTGTGCCGCTACTTTTTTTTTGCCACTGCAAGCACAGACCCCTGCATAGGGGGATGCGCCCTCTGATTCTGCAGGCTGACTTTTTCTTCTAGTCATGCTCTATTTAGCCCTTTGCCCTGTTATTACAATTGTGTGCAGAAAAGGAGAGAGGGGCCAATTTTCATTTTATTCTCTAATTTCCAGTTTGTCAAGTTTAGCTTTCCATGTTTTCTCATATCTCTTCAACCAGTTTTCATGTGTTTAAACCTGAGGAGGGTCCTGGCTAAGGGTGTTATTCCAGAGATAGAGACATGGTTGGGTTGACCTTCTATCTCAGAGCTGTACTACACCAGGGTCACAGGATTGCCCAACGATCAACCTGCTGCAGGCTGCTTAAAGTGATGAGTAGACTTGAAACTAAAGGAGACTGGAGGGGCCTGGGTATAGCCTGCTCTGCTCTGAGTGGGAGGCCACAGGCATCCAGCCCATGACAAAGTTTCAAGCAATTCTGTCAAAATGGGGATGCTTAGAAATTTCCAGCCCAGCTCCCACAGTTTGCAGGGCTTGGTGTCATCATTCACAATAAATGATACATCCTCTGACAGGCAGGCATGGCAAACTGTTAGTCCTCCTGCTTCTCTTTTACCTTGCATAACTCCACTGCCTCCAATGGCATTACTCCTGATTTATTTCTGGGTAAGTGAATGAAGGGCTAGGTCCAAGAGAACAGCATGTGATCTAGCCCATGAACTGATCACAGTTCCACCAAATTTACTTACAGTGGTTATCGGCGTGACCAGGAAAAAATCCCACTGTCCTCTTGTGGAGGTCCTCATCCTCAGGGTTCATGTCTTCTGCTTCCCACTGATTGGATAGCTTAAAGAAATTGCTGCAGGCTCCATAGGCGCAACACTGGTAAGCGTAGGGCACCTCTAGGACTCTAAAGAGGGAAAGCAGGTATCTTAGCTACTTCATGTCCCTTGACATCTGATTTTCCACTGCCTTGCACTGTGTATCACTTATACCCAGGCAAATGACAGTGTAGAAGGGTGTCCTGGTCTGAATGGCTCAGATGGCATAAGGCGATGCAAGTTGGGTCTCCTGCTCCTGTATGGTTTATTATGCAGGTCAGGTTATAATAAAGGATGTGAATCAAGTATTTAAACCTGCAGAAAGTGGAGGAGCTTCATGACAAGGCTTAGCTCTGTGCTAGCATTGTCTACCCTTTCCTTGCAAAAATGAACTCATGACACCTCAGGGAGTCATTCTGTTTAGTGACCCCAGCCATACCCGTCCAGTGTGCAGTGGTCATATGTGTGTGTATGGAGCTGTATTTTAACTCTGTGCTGACAATTTTAAGGAGGCACAAACCATAAAATGATGCCTGGGCACCTGCAACTGTATTTCCTTAAATGACCTTTTCAGTAGGCCTGTGCAAAGTGGCTAATATTCGCTTTGGATTTGGCCGATTCGGGGGACAGTGATTCGATTTGGTGATTGGGGGCGATCCTCGCTGTCCCCTGCTGCCCTGCGCCATGTGGGGGGCTCTGCACGAGCCCCTGAAGCCCTGAGGCTGCTGCAGGAGTGGTGTCCTGGGGCTTTTCTTGCTTTTTTTTCTTAAAGGGCCAGAGCTGGCCCAGGTGGGGCACCCATGGGGAGGGGGGGGGTTGGGGGAGTGGGGTGGGTGGGGGCAGCCATGTGGGGAGGGCCGGGGCAGCAGGCGGGGGTCAGGGGGACTGGGGGAGCAGGAAAGGTGGGGGGCTGGCAGGGGTCCCCCCATGGTCTCCTCTCCCAGCACCCCTCCCCCACCCCTAGTACTTACCAGCTCGGAGTCAGCTGCGGCTCCCTGCTGCAGCCACTGGGGACTGCCCGAATCATCAAAGCTCTCTGAACCTTTGCCGAAGATTTGGAGAGCTTTGAATTGATTTGGACCTTTTAATTGGTCCCCTGATTTGATTCGGATTCAGAGATTCGGCCACTGAATCTCCTCCCAATCGAATCGGCACCCAAAGCTTTGCACAGCCCTACCTTTCAGTGCTTCAAGCAGCTTCTGGGTACTTCTGAAAATACCCCTTGGGAGCCCATGTCTCTCCCCTGCTTCATTTTTAGTGACCAGCCTAGTGGGCTCTTAGACAAGACGGTATCACCAAATGTCAGCTTTGTAACTCAGGGGAGAGTGCCCACCTGGCACTAGAGCCCCTGGTGGGTGCCCACATACCTACAGCTGCACCACCCTAAGCTCTCAAGATCAGAGATTGTGCTCCTCACTTTTACTGAGACCAGAAAAATAGTTATCCAACAAATGGATGGCTCCAAAAAAACCCCAAAAACTCTGAGGATTTTGTGGCTAGGTGCCTAATGGTGCAGTTACTAGGCATTGTTAAAGAAAGGCTACTTCAAGGCTAGGCACACTGGAAAGTGTCCTCGTTACTACAGGACTTCAGGCTAGAATAAGAAGGGCAGATTCTGTGCAAAGTCCTCACACTAAGCTACCCTCTGCTAATACACTGAGGAAACCTAGCTATGTTTTCTCCACTCCAATTGATTTAACAGCTCATTGTTCTTTACTCCAAAGGTGTTAACAGTGGTCTCTCTTTTTTTAATGGGCTTCATTTTCCACTAATCAAAGCTAACCTTTCCAGGGACAATTTTGTTGTCTGCTAGCTACTTCTGCTCTCTCTCCTACTTTACAGCCTTGGAGACTCTAGCTGTTCTCAAAATCCTAGATCTACCCATGGAAACCATTTTTCAGCAGCAGCTAGGGGTTCAGCTTCAGTTAAGCAGGAAAGGGAGGGCAAGTCATCTGAACAGTTAGCCTCTTTTCTGCTCTATGCAACCGTAACCCTGGAAAAATCTTTTTTTCTTTGTTTTGCTTTTCAAAAATGAAGTGTGTATTATTCTGGGGAGTGCTGTATGTGAGGAAATATGGCATATCTTGTATCACAAGATTAATTAAACAGCAGCTGAATATCATCAGGGTGAAATATCAGCACTCTCAGCCTGAAATTGCTTCCCACCCCCCTTGCAAATGCAGCAAACTCTGGCTTGGTTGCTGGAAGTCTGTAAACCCTGCCTATTGAGTCAAGCCAGCCTCTAGTTTTCCAGGCAATTAAGATCTTCTGGTGTTCTGACAGGATTAGTAAATCTGGTGAAACTCTATATTCTAAAAATATGCTTTTGTTTTAAGTTACCAAACATTTCTGGATGACCCCAGGGAAGCTATGGGAACTCTGTATACAGACCTGCTTCCTGCTCTAAACTCTACATTAAATCCTATTATTGAAAGGTGGGAAGAAAGTGCAGATCCGTGTATATGGTTAAGAACTATTACCAGATGATTCCTTCAGAGAGGGCAGCTTTTAAGATTGAGGTGCGTCTGGCACCCATGCCCCCAGGTTCTAGAGGGATCAGATGGTGCAAGGCCACCTTCCTATGTGTCACAGTGGTGCCAATCCAAACCTTCGCCACTGAAATTGAGAGACTTGCAGTTCTGCAAGTGACAACTGAATTTGGCCCAATATCACTGAATTGCTTAACATGAAATATCAGGATTGGATGTGCTAAGCCCTCCAGTTGTCTGGGATCCTCTGCCACTTGGCAAAGGGACAAAGCCAAGCACAGCCCTCGGGACTGGATAGGTTTCAACAGTCACTTAAAGCTTATTCCCACCAGCCTGTGAGCTGCTTGGACCAGTGTTTTCAAATGTGGTCTTGGATCTACTTGAGATACTCTGGGCCTTATTTTCAAAGGGCTTGGGTATACCGCTGTGGCAGTAGGTCCTGATGTGGGAGGCCCAAGCATGCCCTGCCCACACTTTGCCCACCCATGTTTCCAGGCACTCTCCAAATGGGAAATGCACCCATGAGACTGCTAAGCCTCATCTCTCTATGGCTGTTCCTGAGCCCTCAGTTACCAATGCCCCTTAGTGCAGCTGCTGGAAACAGGTTGGGAGCACCTTTATAGGCAAACATTCAGGTCTGGAGCATGCCTGAGTGTGCAGGTGTACAGGGCACAAGAGAAGTATGCTTGGGCTCACCAATGCTGGGGAAATGCCTCCTCAGCAGTGCTGACCAGCACAGAGATGCAGAGCCCCCGAAGCTATAACTGAAGTGGGCAGGAACTCTGAGGTGTGCATATGTTTGAAAATATGTGCACACCCAAACACTGACATCCCAAAGCAGGGGCTACTTTGAAATACCAGCCTTTCCCTTTGTGCGAAACTGATGCAGCAACACCATTGCTCACTCAGCATCGGGCACAAGGATGCAGCACCAAGAGCCCTCTGCTAATATAGGTGTCGATAAGCCAGTGCTCCCAGTGAAGCAGTGGACTCTTAGCCTCCTACAGCATTGTCTTGCTTAACTGCTTAATTTGACCCCTTTGGGCTTGTCATTAATCCATAGCAGACAGGACGCGGCCACACAAACAGAGTTTACTGAAGGAAAGCTGGATGTCATTAGCTGGGACTGGCTTCCGAGAATGTTTTCCATTCAGAGAAGCCCTGGGCTCGGGCCCCCTGCTTCATGAGCTCTGCTTATGTGTTTGTTTGGGGGATGGGAGCAATGGGATGTTAAGTGGAACATCACTTTCCCATGGAAGGCTCTTAATGATGGATGGGATGTTAGCACAAGGCCAGACTTATCCAACCTGCTGGCCTGGAGGAATGGCAGGAAAACATCCAGTAAACATGGAGAACAGGCGACTGATTGAAATAAATAAAGGCCATGTGGAGAGACATCTGCATAGAAGGATAACGGTTAACTGGGACCTGGAGGGACTGAGCGCCAACCAGGCAGTGGACAAACCAAGTGCCACTCCATACCTCATCTTTGGGAAGCTTTCCTTGGTGAAGGGCTCAGACAGTGCAGGGTTGCCTTGGAGCTTCAGATGGGTTAGGCCACCCAATCCATCCAGTGGCAAGGTGACCAGCCGGTTGTCAGTCAAGTCTCTATTTTAGGAAAGGGAAGGAGAAACGGGCAGTGTTAGGGTTTTGTGGATCTGAGGTAGGTTAACTGAGAGACTGGATGGTTTTGTATGCGGCCTTGCTATATTTACCCGACTGGTGTCTAATACACAATGCTATGATGCAGATTCTTTGAATCGCTGCACGATGCTAACTGCGAGCTGGTCTCATTTTGGTGATGAATGAAATTATTCCACAGTCACTGTGGGCAGAGTACCACTGTTGAAAGCTCAACTTTGGTGATCTCCTTCTCCCTCCCTGCCTTTATCAATCCAACCACCTACCCTAATACACCTCCTTCCACCCTACCACCTCTCTATATCTTGGTATGCCATGTTCCTCCTTCAATTAATCTGTCTTTTCCTCTCAATACACCTTATAACTGGGAGCCCTAACCCTTGTTACTGACTACTTGAGCAGCATGCTGCAGAGTGGTAGGCTGAAGAGCTATAAGCTACTAATTAAAGTAATCAATGAAGAATCCCTGTGTCCCATTAGGGAAAGGGAGGAGCCAGGCAGAAATTATTAACAGATCTCCCAGCTGTGGAGTCAGTCTGGCCCAGGCTGGGCTCTGGGAAGACTTCTTCAAGTCAGGAGGGCCTAGGGACAGCAAGTGCAAGTCCTAAGTGACACCATGTCATTGTCTTCTATCTCTGTAGACTTTGGCAGCTCAGTGAGTGAATGTGGAGCCCACACATGCATGCTTTCTTTGCTCCTCTGCAAAAAGACTCTCAATACAACTTACAGCTTGGTGAGTGAGTGGAGGGTCACAAAGGCCTCAGGATGGATGAAGTGGATGCAATTCCAGCTTAGGTCTCTGGAAGGCAAATACAAGGCAATGACGGTGACTGTGCAAAACAGCAAGGGCCTGTGATTAGGAACCTATCTAGACAGAAAGGTTGAGGCATTGCATGTAGACGCTCCCTCCTACAACCTATGGCTGAGCACTACAAGTTCTCACTGAGCCCCTGGGAAGACACATTTCTTGTAAGGAAAGCTGGGCTCTCAGCAACTCTGTACATATCCCTTGTACAGCCCCCTGAGGTCCCTTTGCCTTCCCATTCATTTTCTACTCCCCACCCACTCTGTCCCACCTCAATATGATGTCCCTTCTAAATCCCTCCCTGCGTCTTTCCTCTGTCTCCCAGCTTTTGGGACTCTAAGCCCAGCTTCCCAAAACCAGGCCCTGTCAGCTTAGATCAGGTTGTGAAACATGACCCATGGGCTAGATTTGAAGCTGTTTCATTCAGCCCACTGGGCTCCTAGAGGGGCCAGGAAGTTGAGGACTGGGTGAGTGGGGATATGGGGCCTGTCATTGAATTCCCAGCTATGGAGCCACAATAGGCATGCATGTTGT